TCTGTAAGACCCCAGTCTCCATTTTTCATGGGCTGATCCTCACCTACCCAGGAAGACTTACAGGTAAACAAAACCATTCTCAGCCCATTGTTCTGGATAAATGCAGCAATCAAGTTCCTAAAGTACCATTAATGACCCTCACTTAGCATAATCACAATAGGAACTTAGATTTGTACTTCATATTCCTAACTTTAAATATAAGAATGATACATACATACAAATAGGAAAACCATATTCAGTAGATTACAACTTTTCCAATGATACCTTACATGGGACCTTTTGCATAAAGCATGTTCCAGTTATATCATTCATATTGATAAGCATATTTTCAGAAAGCATATGGAGCGTCCCGTAACACCCTGATCTGGTCTGATTTCACCCCTGCGCAGGATTTCCCATTCCCAAACCTGAGTTGATCGCCCAGCTGGAACAAGGGGAAGAGCCGTGGGTGCCCGATCTCCAGGCCTGCGAGGAAAGAGAGATCCTGAGAGGCGACCGCACAGGTGAGGGCTGACACAGAAACCATCTGGGGAATGAAGGAAAAAGTTGAGAATCACAAATATATGGTGTGAGTAATGCCCTCAGTTCTTCTTCCTTCTCTCACCCAGGGCAGGGCTGTAGTCAGCAGATATCGCTCACGCCTTTCCACCCACCCTGTTAGCTGCAGGAGTTTCCTTCCCTGTGAGTGTTTGGGTGGGATGTGGAGGTAGAATCCAATTGCTCAGTCTTTGTGTTGGGTTTTCCCTCTGTGCTATTCCTCTTTCTCCCCAGCACAATGCCTCCTGTCTGGATTGTCTCTCTCCCAGCAGGTGCTGAGAGAGTGAGTGAGAATGAAGAGGAGAATCATGATGCAGATGTTCTTGGTAAAGTGGAACCACAGGAGACCTTTACGGGAAGAGGTGAAGGGAATTTTTCCCAGTGCTGGGAACAGGGAGAAGCCTGGGTAAATTGGCAGCGGTCAGAGAGGCTGCTGGGAAACCATCCAGGAAAGAAAGCGGATGAATATATTAACTGTGGGAGAGGAGACAAGGATCCCAGAGCGCAGCAGACAAACCCCAAGGAAGAGACACCCAGGGACTGCCTGCAGTGTGGGAAAGGATTCATTGTGAGATCACAGCTTGTGACACATCAGACAATCCACACTGGAGAGAAACCCCTTCAATGCTTGGACTGTGGGGAAATCTTCAATAACTGCTTAGACCTTAATAACCATGGGAGATGCCACACAGAAGAGAAACCCGTTCAATGCCTCCAGTGCGGGAAATGTTTCATTTGGAAGTCAGAAATAATTACACATCATATAAGCCACACAGGAGATAGACCCCATAAGTGCGTGGACTGTGGGAAAAGTTTCATACGGAGGTCACACCTTGTTAATCATCAGGCAATCCACACAAGAGAGAGACCTCACAAGTGCGTGGACTGTGGGAAAAGTTTCAGACGGAGGTCAACCCTTTTTAAACACCAGGCATTACACACAGGAGAGAGACCCCATAAGTGTTTAGTCTGTGGGAAAAGTTTCATATGGAGGTCAGACCTGGTTAAACATCAGGCATTCCACACAGGAGTAAGATCCCATAAGTGTTT